CACAGAAACTTTCAGTTTTGATCATGCATCATGAACTATAAACAATCAAGTCAGATATGATTATTCGTTTGATTTTTATACTTGATTTATATGTGAATCCCACATTTCTCCCTTATTATTATTATTATTATTTTTTAATAAAATGCTGAAGTGGTAGGTAGATGCAAGATGAAGGTAGAGAACATAATTTAGTGCTGTAAGAGGGCAAATGTAGATGATCAGGTCAGAGTGATTTTTGGGCTTTGCTGCTTAAGAACTCTCCCTCTTTTACTATGGTGTAGCCATAACTACTTTGTGTCTCAGAACCTGACTTTATTCAAGACTTTTTAATTTCAGTGCTGAGCTCTACAGATTGTTTTACTGGTCTCTGCCTCCAAGGAACACAGCCCTGTCTTCCAAGATGTTTATTTTCCCATTAGAAGCGGTGTTTTTTGAGCTCTGTCATCTCTGAGCCACCCTAATGATCCTCCACCTTCTTTCTTCACCTTACTTCTGTGTTGTTCGCTTTTTGATCTCAGAGCACTGACCATGAAAGCAAATGAAAAGAGTAAAATATTTTTTTGACCTATAAATGTTATGCCAAAATGAATGATGTGTGTTCCCAGGATCATTTCATTGTTACATTTTGTACTCTATAATTTATCTAAGACAAGGAAAATATTTCTTCTGTCATTCTCTGACTCTTGAAAGTGATACTTCCTATATAAACTCTATAGTTTTTTAAATAAATATTATAGTCCCATCTTCCTTCCTGAGGCTAATTAGAATGTAAATTCAATATAAATTTATATTACTCATTTGCTTATTATACCTATAGGTCCACTTTTCCCTTTCTGCTCCATCTTTTTGAAATTTTACTCTGTTTCTTAGGCATAAGACATGCCTGTCCTTCCTCATATGTTTTTGTTTTTTATGTAACTTCAGGCTCAGGCTCTTCCCATCTCTTCACTCTTCTTGTATTATTATTGGACAGGCTTTGCTGAGAAGTCAAATTGGTGGGTGTACTCACTTCCTGCCTTAGGTTTAGAAAGTGGCCAGATCTGGGTCTACAACTTACCCTAGTCATTTGGAATGTTTAAGCCAATCATTTCTGTTGTACTTAGACTGGCTCTTCCCAGTGATTGTGTCCTATGTAAGTGAAAAGAAAAGAAAGAAAATGAGTTACCAGTAAGTAATTCTCTGGAATGCTTAGGCAGGTAGTCAAGCTAATGAAATAATAAGTTTATTGTACTTCATAGGGTAGGTATTCTTTCTCCCAAAGATTATCTAAGGAAAGATAAAAATAAACAGTACTTAACCTGTTACTCTAAGTGACATTAAGAAACTTTCAGAATCATAGCAGTAGCAATGTTTTCATCTTCCTCAAGTCCCCTTAATGGAAAACAAGAGTTTTTTTTTGTAACCAATGTTACAGGAGATTAGAATTGATCACATTGGTTCCTGCTTTTCCTTCAACTTAATTTATTAAAAATTATGTTTCCTTCAAATGAATTAAAACCCAAACACACCACTGAAACCCAAAGGTGTGTATAAATCCTGCCTCCTGATTAACCTCTGGGATTTCTTCATCCTCTCTCCTAGCTTTGGTGTCATCCCCAGCACTCCTCTGGCCATCCATACGCCTCTGATGCCAAACCAGAGCATTGACGTCTCCCTCCCTCTCAACACCTTGGGCCCAGTCATGAAGATGGAACCTCTGAACAACCTGCAGGTTAGAGTTGTACTTAGCTTAGGGTGTACATTTTGATTCCTTGTCACTTTTATTGCATTTATATATGAAACAAACCCTATCTTTTCCTTATATTAGATTTGGTCTGTGGAAAAGAGTTTTATTTTTTATTTAAAAAAAAGTCTGGACAGTGACTGTAATGGGGATTGTTGGGGGGACTTGGTGAAGGGGGGAGCCTAGTAAACATAATGTTCTGCATGTAATTGTAGATTAATGATAACAAATATATATATATATATATCAAAACACACACACACAAAAAAAACACCAGTCTAATAGTCAAACTATCGAGTCCCTCCCTTGCTAAAAGTTAACTGAGTGAACTTGAACAAGCTGTTAATGATATTAAACTTCCATCTAATCATCAAAAAAAAAAGTCATGCATTGACATAGTTACTCATTCTTTTTACTCAAACATTTAGAAGCCTTTTAAGATATTTATAAATTTCTTTGTAGGACTTTCCATAGTAAATTTGAATATCGCTTATATAAGAATAGATTTTATTAGAGATTTATGTGCAGTTTATCTTTGAACACACAACTATAAATAGGTCATCTGAATTTAAGAGCCCTGTATTAGCACACTATTTTAAGTGTAGCAGCATCTTAGAGGAGCTCAGAACTTTATCAAGTCTATAAGAACCTCTCAGTCCTGAAAATACTGAATTTTTTAGGAAGGTTAGGTACTAGGTTAGAGTTGCATTCAATATTCATTTATTTTGATTTTCTCTTTGGTATATATAAGCCTTCTGGGGTTCAAGCAGCAAGAAGACAGAGGAGTGAGTGAGCTTGTGAGCTAATAAAGCTGTAGCAGCCCTGAAGGGATGTTAAGACAGATATAAACCCCAGGTATTAGGGGTTTTAATATTCACAAGAATAGGAGAGAAAGCCTTGGGCCAACTCCAGATAGGGAACTGTCACTAATTCCTGGATGAAACAGATCCCGAACCAGTCCCTCAATGAATGGGAGCTGCCAAAGTGTTACCATGAGGGCAAGTGGTGGAAAAGCTTCTCTGACCAAGGTTCTGGGTGGCCTCTTGTGAGAAATCCAGGGCATAATATATAATATATGGATATAGAATTCAAATTGTTAATTAGCTGTGTAGGTATAGTGTTCTCCAGTAAATTAATGTAAAATTGGTTCAGGACTGATGAAACCTTGGTTACCTGGCAGAAGCAAATGCAAAGCAGCTCATTTGCAAGTTCTAAACTTCACGGTCATCAGGAATCCCAACTGAAAAGAAAATATCTACTGAAACAAACTCACAATTTAACAAAAAAAGAAAAAAAAAGAAAAAGGAAAAGATACACTGTGAAAGACAGAAGATCCAGCAGAGGATTGATATTCTTCTACCAAGAATTTACAATGAATAGTCTGAATGAGTCTGTAAACTGCAGTGGGTACCAGTCAAGACAGGTAGAATCCCATTGTTCAATCTAATGGAGATACCAATGTGAGACACTAGTAATCATGGAAGACATTAACAGAAGTACTTGGAGTTAAACTAACAAGTTTTTCAGGAGTTTAAATAGTAGCATACCAAAAGCCTGTTTGCCAGTTCACTAACTGCTTTGTTGCTGCAGTAGTTGACTGTCTCTTTTTCAGCAAAGGGTGTAAAGATTTAGAGTGAAGATAAGTGAGTCACAATATAATTTGGCTCAGACTAGAAGAACAAAACAAGGATTACTGTGCAGATGGAATTGTCTGTTACTATGATAAGAGTAATGTGTTAAGAGGTTTTTCTAGCACAGAATCCTGAAGTAAGTAACTAACCCAAATCTACATTTGCTTCCTTTTCATTGAAATCTAACCTCCTATTGGCTCACAGAACCTCAAGCCTAATATTTGAGGACAGTCAGTTTATGCACAAGAATGCTTTACTTTAGAAGTAGGAAAGAGAATTTGGGTCACAGAAACCAGGGCAAAGTTTCTGCTCTTAAAGCAAAAAGGAAACAGTAAATAAATGAATGTCAGTTTACTTTGCTATTTGTATTTCCATTTCTCATCCAGTGAATTGAACATCCTGAACAGGAACCCTCAAAAGAGAAATTGAGTCTTAGTCCAAACCCCTCTCAAAAAAGTATTGATAGGGAATTAAGACGAGCAAGTTTTCGTTTTTACAAACCTGATATTTTAAAAAGCAAACTTAAAAGTTTTCCATCTAAGCGGAATGTAATAAAGCATCTCTTATTTCTCTAGGGGGGGAAAAAGCCCATCTGCTTATTATCCAAGTTTTCCCTATGATTCTCTTCTTCTAGGAATGTCATAATTATGGCTATTTTCTCATTAATTGGCATTTCCCAATGGAGAAGATAAGCAAAAACTTGAAACCTTTTTCCTCTATGAGCAGCTGCATTTAATGTCTGGTGGAAGTTGAGGCTAATGGCTAGCTTGAGGTGGAAGGGTTACTTTAGATTTCAGTTTCCATTCTTCCCTTGTCCCTATGTGAATAAAAAGAATCAAATCTTAACTGCAATCAATTTAGACCCTAAAGATTCAGATAAAGCCAGGTAAAGATTGATTGGCATTATATGATTTAAATGATTAGATGGTTTAAACATTATATTTGCATAATGTTAAAATTCAAGAGCTCATGTAGGAAAAACTATTACTTTTATAGCACTCCAAGACCATAAAATCAGGAAAGAAGAAATGCTTGGGGGTTGAAGAAATAAAATTTTGAATGTAGTGTAGATTTTACCTATTTTGGCTAATTTGATGTTAATATATAGTGCCAGAGTCCAGCTGCAGCCAAGGGGTTGGATGCCCAAAGGTTCCGAACAGAGTCAGCGCACAGAGAGACAAGACGCCGAGTCAGTTGGAGGAGGTCTCTTGACAAAGTGCCAATGACATCTTTATTTATACCATTTTACACAAGGATATGATTATTTTTTATTTGTTCTTTTGATTAACAAGCATAGGCAAGCTTTTTTCTTTTCTGTTTCTTTCTAATCTATACATGGTTAGCCAAGTGTTAGACAGGTGATCTTTTTTCTATTCCTTGACCTAAACTTTTCTTAGCAGCATGTACTCTATCATGTCTTCCGTTTCTATGCAAAGCGGTTTCTAAGTAACGCATGTGACCACAGAAGCGTGCAGAATGCATCAGTGACTATGGAGTCTATCAGCTGAGGGTGAAATACAGGTCACTCACTGCTACAGTTAGCTAGGCGGGTATCATCATCTATATTTCTAATGCAGTGGGTACATTTTATCCCCTCATAATATTTATTCTATCGTAGGTAGATGCAAGATAAAGATAGAAAGCATGATTTAGTGCTGTAAGAAGGCAAGTGTAGATGATCAGGTCTGTGCCTATAGACTAGGTATTAATACAAGTTAGACAAGGGCAACAAAACATCCACGGGTGTAGAAGATTTCTCTCAAAACTGGGGGGGGTGAGGTTCTAAGCCTCACCTCTGTTGGCCCCCATTTTCTCACCTGATGGCCCCCCTGCGACTGTGCCTGTCTCAGGTTGTTCCTCCCTTGAGGAATCTTATCCATCTCTGGCTAGCCAGCCATCTTCTGGGGCTATACAGGGAGATGTAAAGCTGGTAAGTGAGAGAGAAGTAATATTCTTCTAAAAGGTTAGTTTTTCACTTCTTTGCAGATTTATGCCCCTTGGCTTCTATGCCCAGCACTTGTCTTAAGGTATCTTTACCACTCAGAAGAATTATGGTACTTGGTAATTTCAGGTATGAGGCATGAATTCTAGTAAAGGGCTGTAATTAGGAAAGAAGAAGAAAAGCTATAGAAGTAGCAGATGGAAGAAAACATGAGAAGATTGATTGAATGTCAGACAGGGTTATTCCATTCAGTATTCCCCCATAACTCTATTTCTCTAATTTTCCTATAAAACTCTTCATCACTAATTTCACTAGCATTGCAAATAAAGGGGGGCATTCCCACTTAGGTGGAGATGGAGTAGTCAATGTTTGACTAACTAACTGCAGGATTTGGTATTCCATGCCAAGATTGACATCTGGCCTCTGCGTGTTCCATTCTTCAGGAGCACTGTCCTGAAAAGCTTCAGGGAAGTTTATGTCCTCCTCCTTTCTGTGCTGCTTATCAAAGGTTAGCTTAGTCTTTGGCAAAAATGCAAGCAAAAGCAAAGCCAATAGTATAATGGAGAATAACAAAATCAAGGTGGGTAATAGAGGTAGCCAGCTGCGAAGGCCCCTGCTTTGCAGGGGTCTTCCTCCAGCCTGAGCTTTGCTACACAGCTTGAATAGCATGGCTCCCGCCAATATAGGACAAATTAATCAAACCCAGATGGACAGAACTGTCATATAACACTATGAAAACTTCTCCTTAAAACGCTCATCAAAGTACTGACTGGCTTACAGTTTGAAACATTAGAGAGGTTAAAAAGATACTGCTCCCTCTTAAAATGTAATACAGATTATACCTTAGAGACAATTAAATACTAGTCAAAATTTGAACCTAGAAAATTTTTTCTGCTGTACTGATGTTGCTCGTAAAAGCCTTTGTGATTCCAGGTTACAAATATTGCACAAAGTAAAGTTAGGCTTGCTCCCATTGGGAGCTTCTCTTGAGTTTATTTATATCATATAATTACATTCCTTAAAAATGGAGAATTGATTCCATTTAAATAAAATCCTTAACAAATGTCTAAATGAATTATCTCTAAATGAATATTCTCTGACTCTAGTATCCTCGTTTTTCATTTCTTCTATGTTAGTTGCTTAGAAACGTTCTTAATACATGTCTTTAAACTTGACACCTGGAAGGTGACTGCTTCAAGTTATGGTCTGGAAAAAGACAAGAGAATCATCACATAGTGTGAGTTCATCCTGGTCTTTGCATTATAATACAAGTTCTCACAGCTGCTTGGCTTCCTTTTTCACTGGGCTATTAAAAAAGAAAATTCTTATGAGAACATTGATAGCACTGTTTGAAGTTTTAATTTTATCAGCTTTATAAAAACGCAGTTTAGAGTTGACTAATTCTGTAGTTAAGA